TGCACCCCGGCTCCTGCTCAGCCGGGCCACTGGGGGCGCTGTGGCTACAGACCTGCCCAGGCCGTCGGAAGCCCTGGGCGGTGCCTGGGCTCTGGAGACTGGCCCTGGGGGACCGGGCAGGGGCTCCTCACCCAGAGCCCTGGGGACTGCAGGCGACCAGCCCCTCCTCGCTGGCCCTTCCTCTCCAGGCACCCCTGCTCCTGTCCCCAAGCCCCTGGCATGGGCTGCTTTGTCCCAGCGGTCGCTTCTTGGCCTGTGGTGTCACCCAGGGAAGGGCAGGCTCAGGACAGCACGGGCATGGAGCTCAGGGGCCCTTGTGCTGCCGCCCGGGGTGTGTGCGTGCGTGCGTGTGCGTGTGCGTGTGTGTGTGTGTGTGTGTGTGCGTGCGCGCGCGCCACGCCTAGAAAGCCCCTTTGCGCCGTGCCCTCTCACCACCCAGCCTGGGAAACCGCCGTTAGGACACTCGGTGCCCCAGAGGCCACCCTCCCCGGGCCCCAGAGCCACTGCCACGTGGCGGTGCGTTTCCGTGTGGGCTGGGCTGGTGAGGGGCCCGGACGTGGCTCATGGTGCCCTCCCTCCAGCATCAGGGCCCTGTGCCCCGTGCCTGCCTCCCTCTGCTACGTGGCCCAGGGGCACCTTCACCCGGAGGCCCAGGACTGGAAGGGCTGGGGAGGGGCTGGCAGTGCCTGCAGGCCCACGCAGCCAGGCCAGCGCCGTGGTGTCACGTGGCCGGAGGGAGAGGCGTGGCCTGGTACGACCTGTGTCGGGACAAGTGTGCGGCTGGAGCGGGTGGCAGGGCGCTGCTGCCCCTCGGCCGGTGCGGGCTCAGGCCACGGAGGCGCCCCTCCACGCGATGACAGGCCGAGGAGGCCCTCACCTGTGCCCTCCTGTACAGCCTGGCCTGGAGGGCGAGGGGCTGCTGGGAGCCTGGCACTGACGTCGCGGACGGGGGCCGTGTCTGACCACGCCACGCGCCCTGGTCCCCGGGTCCCGCCCTGCCCGCTCAGTGCCGGGAGCTGCAGCCGGGCCGGACGAGAGCTGCAGCCGTGCGAGGATGAATAATGCATTTATGACACGGCGGCGTGGTCGCCAAAGTGATCTATAAATGGCGGTAAATGTTTTATAATGTTGTTGTAACCCGTTATAAATGATGAATGGCAGCGGTGGATGCCGGATCAAATATTTATGACGCGTGGTGTGCGACGCGGCCGCCTCCGTCAGGAAAGCCATTAATAATGGAGCGGACGGAGATGTAAAAGTTGCCGACGTGCCCGGCAAAGCCATTTATAATGAAACGTGAGCGTCGGCGCTGGGAGCAGCACGCGCAGCCGGCGGCTCCGGAGCCACGAGGAACGTCGTGGGTTGTGAGACGGTCCCGCCCGCAGCGCGCCTGTTCATGTGCTCATGCACCCAGGCGGCGCAGGCCCGTGTCTCGTGGTGCCTGGTTAATTAACGGGGGTGTCACAGCCCCCGCTCCCTCCTACTCGCTGTGGCCATGGCGTTGGGCTCTGGGCAGGGCTGTGGGAACTAGAGGAGGGATGTCCTTGCCGTTCTGCGTGTGCCTCCCACCAGCAGTCACCGCTAGGGGGCCACAGGGCAGCGTGGTGCCATCTGCCCTGCACCCCAGGGACTGGGTCGGGGTGGGAGGGCCCTGTCATCGAGCCGCGCTGTGTCCCCTGGTGCCGTCCCAGGTGCAGCTCAGCGCTGGTTTCTGCCCGTGTAAGTCGGAAGGATGCAAGCTCGCTGCTGTAACAAACAGGCCCAGGTCCAGCTGAGCCCAGCCCACACTGTCCCGCCCAGAGGCTGGCACAGCTGTTCCTGGGCCGCTGCCCTCCGTTGGACCCTGCGGTCCAGGCTTCTGCGTCTGTGGCCCATCATCAGTGTGGACCCAGCGAGTGAGACCCTGGCATCCCCCCCTGGCAAGGGACTCAGCCCACGCCCCATCTACCTGCAAGGGAGGCTGGGAAATTGGGTCCAAGCAGAAAGAGCCAGTGGGGAGGGCCCGAGGCAGGGGCCTGAGGGCGTCCAGTGCGGAGAGGAGACTGGGTGTCAGGCTGGAGGGCCTGTGATGACCGTGCTCTGTGAGGTGTGGCCGCTCTTGTTCCCGACGTTAAGGATGTTGAGCTGACCACAGACTGCAGCTGCCGGCAGAGCACAGGGCACCTGTACAAAGCCAGGCTGACAGCAGAGGGTGAGGGTGGCCGTGGGGGAGGGGCAGGGGGCAGTTTGCTGTGGGGCCAGCAGGAGAGGAGAGGAGGCCAGAAGCCCTGGCAGGGACCTGCGAGCCGCTGTGGATGGGCTGGGGCTCAGGGCCAGGAGCTCAGTGCAGGGACCAAGGGCCGGGCTCCGGTGGGAGGGCAGGGCGGGCGTGGGAAGGGTGTGGCCAGGGAGCGGCTGGGACCCGAGGCTGGACGGCGTGATAAGGGCCTGGACTTTATCCAGAGGTGGTGAGGCCGCAGGGCAGGGCTTGTCCCTCAGCTGCTGGGAGGGTGGCTGGCGGCGGCGGGTGGGGGTGGGGGTGGGGTGGGGAGAGCCTGGGGAAGGCGGGTGAGAAGCCAGGAAAGGTCCCTGGCCTGTGGCACGAGGAGACTCGTTACACAGCGTGTGAGCCGGCTGGCGCCCCTGTCCTCCCGGCTCCCGGCACTGAGGACAGAGCACATGGCTCTGCTCCCGCAGGGTGACGCTGAAGCCAGCCCCTCGGGGGCTGCGGAGACCCGAGCGCCGAGGCGGGTGAGGCCGAGGGAGTGAAGCTCTGGGCAGTCCATTGAGATCCTGCCAAACTGCCCTAGACGCCGGCCTTTAGCCCGAGAGCCAAGGCCGGGGCGGGGAGGCGGGGGGGAGGGAGTGGCGGGAAGTGACAAAACACGGAGGTTTGGGCGCATGCTCTCCCTCCCGGAGCACACGCCCTCCGTCCCCCCTCCCCCCAGCCTGCACCCCTGCACCTCCTAAACTCAGGGTCCCCAGGAGGCAGCTCGCCCAGGTTTACCCGAGCCGGTCACCAAGCCCCTGGGCCTCCTGCTGCTGCTGTGCTGGAGCCTTCCGTGCCCTGTTCCAGCTTTCACACTTTTTTCATTGATTTCAGAGGGGGGGAGAGAGAGAAACATCAATGATGAGAATCATTGATCGGCTGCCTCCTGCACGCCCCCTACTGGGCATGTGCCCCTGGCTGGACTGAATCTGGGCCCCTTTAGTCTGAAGGCTAAACCGGCCAGGGCAATAAAGACACTCTTCACATCACCTGGACTCGCCCTCACTGGTTTGCTCAGTGGATAGAGCATCCACCTGCAGGTTGAAGGGTCCTGAGTTCGATTCTGGTCAAGGGCACATGCTTGGATCACAGGCTTGATCCTTAGTGAGGGTGTGCAGGAGGCAGCCAACCAATGACTCACATCATTGATGTTTCTCTCTCTCCCTCTGTAACACAAAAAAGACCATAAAGTTAAGAAATCGCCTGTCTTGTCTTGTGAAACCTTTTGTGAAGTCTAGAACCCGCTCGCTCCCCGCTGGCCAGGGGCAGCCCGCGCATGGCCGGCCCCCGCTGGTGACGGGAACTGGCCCAGCGTCAGGGAGTGGGGAGGTTGCTTGGGAGGGAGAAGAGGGGCTGGGGCCCTGGCCTGGGGGCCTGGGGAGGAGCAGGGCCCCAGAAGGAAGTGCTGTGTGAGATGCCGTGGGGACACAGCACAGATGCACCAAGTCACTGTCTGGAGCAGCCCACGTGGGGACATCACACCGGCTTTTCCAGTTCCAGCTGCTGCCCTGCGGTCAGGAAGCGCGCTGGTTCCTGTTCGGGCTGGGCCACCTGCCGCCTCGCCGGCCGCCTTGCCCTTTGTCCTCATCCGGGAGCCCCGGCAGGTGTGGCAGCGGGCATCCCAGCTTGCAGGACCCGGTCAGCGCCTGCTTGCACGCCCCCGAGACGGGCCTTGCACACGCTGGGCGGCCGGGGCCCTCGCCGCAGGCTGAGCTGCGGGGAAGCTGGGGTCTGGCCGGGCCTGGGCTGGAGGGCCGGGTCTCTGCTCCTTCGAGGGGCGGGGACCACGCTCCCGCCTTCCTTCCTGCAGCCGGTCTGGGCCAGCCCGAGGCTGCAGGGTGCGGGCGCACATTTGGTCAGTGTTTCCGCTGTCGTCCACGTGGCCACAGGCAGGGTTTCCTGGGAAGAACGTGTGGGGAGCCGCCCGCTCACAGGGCCTTGAGAGGTGCTTTGCTGGGTCACTTGTGTCACAGACACAAACGGAAACGGAGACGCCGCGACGCCCAGGAGGGCCTGGTGCCCCAAGCAGCCAGGGAAGAGCCGGAGCGGGAGGCTCCCGGCCCTACACCCGGCCCAGCCTCGGGCGCCTCCCTGTGCTCGGAGGAGTGAGCCCCGCCTTGCCGGGCACCTCTCAGGCCTAAAACCCGGAAGAATGCTTTTTCTTTTTCTTCTAATCCTCACCTGAGGGTGTGTTTCTACTGATTTTAGAGAGAGGGAGGGGGAGCGAGAGAAATGTCCATCAGTTGCCCCCGCCCCCGAATAATACATGCCCCGACCAGGAATAGAAGACACGACGTTTTAGTGCGTGGGACGATGCTCCAACCACTGAGCCACCTGGCTAGGACAGAACCTGGAAGGGAAAGTCCTTTCCCGCGAAACTGCGATGCCGGGTGTTGGAGGGGAGCACGTGCTCCGGGAGACCACAGGCCGGCAGCCTGGCCCCCTGCCCCGGGCATGGGCCCTGTGTGAGCGGCCACGCTACTCCGCCGGGAGGGTGGGCGGTGGCGGGCTTCCGGGAAGGCAGCCCCGAGGCCTGGGGGCAGCGGAGCGGGCACCCAGGGCGGCCCCCTTCGCCCTGACCCGCGGCTGCAAGGGGTGGGCGGGGCCGCCGGGGCGGGGCCTGGACCCTGAGGGGCGGCGCCTGACGCAAACATTAGTCTTCAAGGGGCGGGGCCAGGCCTGGAAGGGGCGGGGCCGTGGAGGCAGCAGCCAATGCGGGCGTGGTGGGCGGGGCCGGAGGCCGGGGCGGCCGGGGACTCTGCGCTCCGCCGGCCGCTGTCCCGCCGGCTGCCCGGCCCCTCCGGTCCTCCCGGCCCGGCCCGGCCCCTCGTCCTCCCGCTTCGGGGGTCGGGCCCCGCGTCCCCGGAGGCGCCGGCGGCCGCTGCCCGCTGCCCGCTGCCCGCTGCCCGCTCCGGCATGGCGGCCATCCAGGCGCTGCAGCAGTGGTGCCGGCAGCAGTGCGAGGGCTACCGGGACGTGAGCATCACCAACATGACCACGTCCTTCCGCGACGGCCTGGCCTTCTGCGCCATCCTGCACCGCCACCGGCCCGACCTGCTGTGAGTGCGCCCGGCCCCGGCCCGGCCCGGCCCCTGGCCTCCATCCCCGGCCCCGGCCTCGGCCCCGGCCTCCATCCCCCGGCCCCCTGCCCCGACCCCCCGGCCCCCGGCCCCCGGTCCCCGGTCCCCCGGCCCCGGCCCCGGCCCCGGCCCCCCGGCCCCCGGTCCCCGGTCCCCCGGCCCCGGCCCCCTGCCCCGGCCCCCGGCCCCCGGTCCCCGGCCCCCGGTCCCCCGGCCCCGGCCCCGGCCCCGGCCCCGGCCTCCATCCCCGGCCCCCGGCCTCGGCCCCGGCCTCCATCCCCCGGCCCCCGGCCTCCATCCCCCGGCCCCCGGCCCCCTGCCCCGGCCCCCGGCCCCCGGTCCCCCGGCCCCCGGCCTCCATCCCCCGGCCCCGGCCCCCGGCCCCCGGCCCCGGCCCCGGCCTCGGCCCCCGGCCCCCGGTCCCCCGGCCATGGCCCCCGGCCTCCATCCCCCGGCCCCCGGCCTCCATCCCCCGGCCTCCATCCCCCGGCCTCCATCCCCCGGCCCCGGCCCCCGGCCCCCGGTCCCCCGGCCCCCGGCCCCCGGTCCCCGGCCCCGGCCTCCATCCCCCGGCCCCCGGTCCCCCGGCCCCGGCCCCGCCGGCAGCAGCGTGACTCGGGCCGGCTCTCCGGCCTCCCTGCCCTCCGCCCCCGCCTGGGGGGCTGGGCCCGGCCCGTGTGTGGCACCGCCCTCCCCAGGCCCAGGCTCCTAAGCAGCTGGGGCTCGGAGGGGGCGGGGCGCGCAGAGCAGGAGCCCGACCCCCTTGTCAGGCCCCTGCACCCGAGGGTGACAAGGGGCGAGGGGGAGGCAGCCCCGCTCCTGGGAGCCAGGAAGGTGGGCAGGGGAGGGGACGGGTCTTGACGTGAGGCCAGGGGCTGCCACTCGCGGTGCCAGCCTTGCCCCCCTCCACGGCCCCCTCTGTTCCGTTGCTCACTGGGCCCGGCCCTCCCTCTGCAAAGCGGCTCTGGAGCCCGGAAGGCCGCCAGCTGGGGGCCCCGCGTTCCGCACGTCTCCTGCGAAGTCCAGGCTGGAGGGGAGGGCGGGGAGAGGGGAGCACACGTGCAGGGAGAGGCAGGCACCCCCGTGTGCTTGCACTGCAGATGGGGAGACTGAGGCCTGAGGAGAGGCCTGTGCAGGGCTGCCGCCGGGGCCCTCTGTGCCCCCGGACGGTCTGGGAAGGAGGCCCCCGGAATCCCTCTGCTCCGAGGGCCTCTGTGGGGCCTCTGGGAGTCCCGTGTGGCCGGGGCGGCGGCCGCTGCTCCCCGCCCAGCGAGGTGCTGTCGCCCCGGGAGGCAGACGAGGCAGACGCCGAGCCGCGGAAACAGCTAGGCGGGGTGGGTGGGGACCGGAGAGGGCGCGAGGGAGAGAGGTGGGCAGGCAGGTCCTGACAGGCTGGCTGGGGGCTGCAGGAGGGGCTGCGCTCGGAGGGGGAGTTGGAGCCGTGGTCTGGGGGCTCCGCAGCCTCAGCCGCCACATGGGTGTGCCTGAGGCTTGGGCTCTTTCTGGGCCCGGGAGCTTCCCAGCTGTGCTGGGGCTGAAGGCCCAGAGCCTGTGTGCGTGTGTGTGCGTGTACGTCTGTGTCTGTGCGTGTGCGTGTGCGTGTGTCATAGAGGGCTGTGTGTGTGTGTGCGTGTGCGTGAGCCTGTCCCAACAGGCACTGCTGCCTGCGGTGAGCAGGGGCTCGCACACCTGGGCATGGACCAGAGCTGGCCTGGGCGGGCCCCTGGCCGCTGCCTGGCCGCCATGTGCCTGCCACGCTCAGCACTGTGTCCGTGTCCGTGTCCGTGTCCGTGTCCATGCAGGCGGCCGTGGCCCTGCCTCGGGGAGAGGGCCTCAGTCGCGGACGGTGAGCGAGTGAATGAAAGCTCCCGGCAGCTCGCGAGGGGGGAGGGGGGAGGTGCCCTCCGGCCTCGCCGTGACCTGCTGGCTGCTGACTTGGCTGCGGTCCGTCTGCCCACTGGACTTTCGGCTCAGAAGGTGGGGCGTCTGTTTGCAGTTCACCGCTGTCCCCAGCCTGGCGCCCGGCCCGGACAGGTGCTCGGTGGAATCTGCACAGCTGGAGGCCGAGAGATAAGGGCTTGCCCTTGGGGCTCCGCAGATAGGGTAGGAGTTCGGCCGTGCAGGTGTGAGTGCGGAGGGCGAGGGGGGCCCTGTGACCACGGAGGCGGGTGTTGGAGCCCCCAGGAGCCGGGGGACAAGGAGCAGCATCGGCGCCAGCCCCCGGCGGGCACACGGGCGGGCACACCGGGCTGTGGGGATGGGTGCTGCCCGTGTGGTCAGTGGTTACGGCAGGACCAGGAGGCAGCGCAGGTTTGCGCCTGGTGGGTGTGGCTCCATAGGTGCTGAACAGCTGTGTGTGTGTGCGTGTGTGTGTGTGCAGGCGTGTGGGCACACGTGTGTCCCGTGCCCGAGCCCTTGTTGTGCCCGTGTCTGTGCCTTGAACACCTGCCTCCACTCTGACCCCTCAGGGCCTCTGGCCAGGTGGCGGCTGGGAGGGCATCTCCCCAAAGCGATGGGCTGCCGGCCGGCCCCAGAGGGCCGGGAGCGGAGGGGCAGGAGGACAGGGGGGCCGCTGTGCCTGCCCGTCCGGTGAGACCCTGGGCAGCGGGGGGGACATCCTGTCTCCGGCCCCTTTGTCTGTCCGGTCCTTCCTGCTGCTCCGAGCCGCTTCCTCTGGGCCCAGCGGAAGGAGAGCCGTGGAGCCGCAGGCGGGGCCGGCCAGGTGGGGACGCGCCCAGTGCCGCCGGGCCCAGGAGCTCACGTGCGGCAGGAGGCCATGCGGCCGCGTTGGGCTCCTTGGGGTCCGGGGGGGCGTGGGTGAACCTGCGTGGGGGGGACGGCTCCTCGGGGGGCCGGGGCCTGCAGGTCTGTCTCCCGTGAGGCCCGGTGAGCAGCCAGCTGAGCCGGGGCCGCCCAGCACCGCAGCCCAGGCACACGCCTGGGACCGGGGTTCCCCGGAGGGGCCGGTGTGAGCCTGGTGCCCGGCAGAGCCCCCAGCACGGCAGCCCAGGCTGCTGAGGGGCCGTCTGTAGCCGCTGTGGACGGACAGAAACCCGAGGGCGGGCCAGGGCGCGGCTGCAGGTCGCCGGGCCTCGGTATCCCCGCTGGGTGGTGACCTGGTCCGTCCCCCCAGGGCCAGGGCCAGGGCCAGGGCCAGGCGGCGGCTCCGTGACCACGGCCTCGACACGCCTGCGGTTGGGTCAGGAGACGCCCAGGGGCCCCCGGGAGCTGAGGCAGCACTGACCCTCCTGCATGAGGTCAGCAGGAAGTGGCCTGGGGACAGAGGCCCTCTGTCCTCGCTGAGGGCCTGCTGCCCAGCCTTCTGGCCTGAATCTGCAGGGTGGACAGGCCCCCTCCTTGGGGGCGGCCCAGGGCCCATCGCCCCCCAAGATCCCCTCCTGGGCTGCCCTCTGGGCTGGGCAGGGATAGGGCTGGTGCCTCCTGCGGAGGCCTGAGCTGGGCAGCTGCTGAGGCCCCTCACTTGCCCACCGGGTACAGGAAGGGGGCCTCGGCACCGCGTCCCCCGGGCCCCCTCCCCATGTCCGTCCCAGGGCGCCTGCCTGGGGTCACTTCCCCGCAGCCCTGTCTCCACCTCTCTCTGCCGAGTCCCCACCCGGCTTTCTCTCCGTCCCTCTGCCCCTCCCCCTGCTCCCTTCACGCCAGGATTGACTCCAGATGGGCTCGGGGTGCCTGGAGAAGGCTCCGGAATGGCTTTCCCTTCTGTCTGCCCCCTCGGCCCCAGCGCGCCCCCAGGGCTGCATGTTGTTCCAGGAAATAAACAGCGTGAGGTCAGCTCGCCAGGAATTCGGAGGGACACAGGCCGAGCCCCCAGGCGCTGGGCCAGGAGGCGGCCCTCAGCGCCTGCAGTCCTGGCGGGTGGGCGGGCGGGCTGGCTGTGGCCGTGGGAGGCAGGCAGGGGCTCGGCCGGGCCATGCCAGAGGCCTGGGACCCGGGGGCTGTGGTGGTTCCTCCTGGTCACTCATCGGTGTTGACAGCGTAAGTGGTCCGGTCGGCTCAGCGGTTGAGCTTCGACTATGAACCAGGAGGTCACGGTTCGATTCCCAGTCAGGCACAGGCCCGGGTTGTGGGCTCCATCCACAGTGGGGGGCGTGCAGGAGGCGGCCCTCAATCCGTGATGGGTCGCTCTCATCGTGGGTGTTTCTCTCTCTCTCCCTCTCTTTCCTCTGAAATGAATAAAAATACATTTTTTGAAAAAGAAAGAGCGAGCGAAGGCCAGCAGAACGCTCCTCCACAAGCATGTATGGAGCGCCGGCTGTATGCCCGGCGTCTCCGAGGCCCAGAGCCTCGGGCCGGCGGCCGGACACGCCCGCGGCCGGCGCCTCTCCCTGCGTCTCCGTCCCAGTTCCCTCTTGGTGAGGACACGGCCCTGGGGACGGGCCACCCAGTGACCTTGATCGGATTCTCTCTGTAAAGACCCTCCCGCTTGTCAGGGACAAACAGAACTTGTTTTCCTGCCTCCGGCGGCCGGGGGCGCCTCGGCGGGGCTGACCCGGCAGGTCTGTGGGGCGGGGGGGGGGGGCGGACTGGGCTTTCAGAGGGGTGGGTGTGGGCGGACGCGGGGGAGCCCGGGGCGTGGCCAGGCGAGAGCCGTGGACGCGGGAGCGGCTGGGCTGCCACGCCCCCCTCCCGCCCCCGCGTCCGCCCGTCCACCACACACCTGCCGGCCGCGCACAGCGCCTCTGTGCCGGTGGTCCGGCATCTGGAACGCGTTGCCGCGGGCGGTCGGCGGAGGGGGGTTTCCGGGAGAGCCGGGCCGTGATGGACGGCAGGCCCTGCGGGAGGGGGCAGGCAGCCCCGCGCCGCAGCCCGCTGCCCCCTCGGGGTCACCGCGGCCCTGGGAGCGGGGCTCTCCCGGCTGGAAGCTTCCAGAACAATCAGGTCGCACCGAAGCTTCGGGGTGCTGTTCGTGCCCCACAGACAGCCCCCGGACAGACAGACAGACGGACAGGCCTGTGTAACTGCCTCCCGGAGCCGCTGGCTGGGCTGGCTGTGCTGTCTGCTCAGGGCATCCTCCTGGGGGCGCCCGGGGCTGTGCGTGGGGGCGGGCTCCTGTCCTCGGCCACCCGGACGCGGTCTGTTCGGGGTGTGTGTGTGTGTGTGTGTGTGTGTGCGCGTGGGGGCGGGCTCCTGTCCTCGGCCACCCGGACGGGGTCTGTTCGGGGGGGGTGTGTGTGTGTGTGTGTGTATGTGTGTGTGCGTGGGGGCGGGCTCCTGTCCTCGGCCACCCGGACGCGGTCTGTTCGGGGTGTGTGTGTGTGTGTGTGTGTGTGTGCGCGCGTGGGGGCGGGCTCCTGTCCTCGGCCACCCGGACGCGGTCTGTTCGGGGTGTGTGTGTGTGTGCGTGGGGCTGGGCACCTGGTGGGCGCCTCGTTCCGCATCAGCCGGCCACGTGGCTCTGGTTGAGCATCGACCGAGGAACCAGGAGGTTGTGTTCTGACTCCGGCGGGCACAGCCCGGACTGTGGGCGCCGTCCCCGTGTGGGGTGTGCAGGAGGCGGCTGATCACGGAAGTCTGTCTCCCTTCCTCTCTGAGGTCGGTGAAAACGTGTTTTAAAAACCACGCCCCCTGGTCGCGCCTTACTGCTCTGGACGCCGGGCATGGCCTGGCTCCGTCTTCTCTGCTGTGGGACTCGGGCAGGCCACCGAGCCTCTGCCCGTCCTCACCCTGAGAGTGGGCGTGCAGCCGTGGGGTGAGCACCACGGGCGGGTGTCCCTCAGGGAATGTCTGTCCTGCCCTGCAGCCCCATTGCCCACTGAGTTTCCCTCCGGGACATGCCAGCCGCTGAGCTGTGCCCTCGGCCCAGGGCCCCGGAGCCGCCAGCCCTGCCCTCCTGAGGCCGCCTCGGTTCCCCCTTCGGGCAGGCTGGCCTCCCAGGCCTCCCAGCCCTGCTTCCCGGCCTGAGCTGCTTTGCATTTTTATCTTCCAGAAACTTCGACAGTCTCAGGAAGGAGGACGTCTATGAGAACAACCAGCTGGTGAGTCCCGCCTGCCCGCCCTGCGGTCCCGTCCAGTGGAGGGCGTCCCCGTCCAGCTGTGGCTGTGCCCGGCCCCTGACCCCGCTCCCCGCTCCCCTCCGGGAGCATGGGGTGCTGGGCCCCTTCTCCTCCGAGGCAGCGCCGGCCCCGGGGTCCTGGGTGGGCCGTCCCCCGCCCGGCCCAGCCTCTCAGCCAGGGTCCCGGACCCACTGCTTCAGCCTTCCCGGCCCAGCCCGCCCGCTTCATTGCTTCAGGGTGCGCTCCCTGCCCTCGCCCTCTGACATCCGGAGCCCCCAGCTGGCCCCACTACGCAGACGGGTAAACCGAGGCCCAGGGAGGACACAGGCCGAGCTGGAACTTTGGGCCCAGACGTCTCTGGGCTCCAGTGGGGTTCTTGCTCCTGGCACCGGGGTGAGCCGGTGGCCAGGCGACTCCCTGCTGACCGTCCCTCCCCAGGCCTTCCGCGTGGCCGAGGAGCAGCTGGGGATCCCAGCCCTGCTGGAGGCCGAGGACATGGTGGCTCTGAAGGTGCCCGACCGGCTGAGCATCCTGACCTACGTGTCGCAGTATTACAACTACTTCCATGGACGCTCGCCCAGTGAGTGCCCGCCGCCCTGACGCCCCCCTGCCCAGTGCCCACTGCCCTGGCGGCCCCCCTGCCCAGTGCCCACCGCCCTGGAGGCCCCCCTGCCCAGTGCCCACCGCCCTGGAGGCCCCCCTGCCCAGTGCCCACTGCCCTGGAGGCCCCCTCTGCTCAGTGCCCACTGCCCTGGCGGCCCCCTCTGCCCAGTGCCCACTGCCCTGGAGGCCCCCCTCTGCCCAGTGCCCACTGCCCTGGAGGCCCCCTCTGCCCAGTGCCCCCTGCCCTGGAGGCCCCCTCTGCCCAGTGCCCACTGCCCTGGAGGCCCCCTCTGCCCAGTGCCCACTGCCCTGGCGGCCCGCCTCTGCCCAGTGCCCACTGCCCTGGCGGCCCCCTCTGCCCAGGGCGTGGCCAGGACTGGTCCTCCTCGCACTGCTCAGAGCAGGCTCCCTCAGGCCCAGCTCCGATGCCCCCATCTGGTCCTGACATTGTGTCAGGCTTTGTGCATGCTCCCCCCACATTCCTCGGCCTTAGAAATCCCCGGAACCCGGGCTCCGGGCCAGCCCCGCCTCCCGCCTCCCGCCTCCCCACCCCACTTTGTGCAGAAACAGAAAAGTCCCTTCCTGACCCAGCGGGGGACAGGCGGGAGGGGGAGTCCGCCCAGCGGGTGGTGCTGGCTGTGGCTGCCCCCCACACCTGGAGCTGCCCCCCGCCCCGCCCCCGGGCCGGGCCCAGCCGGGCACCACACCTCCCAGGGCTCAGGAGGGCCCAGCCGGGCACCACACCTCCCAGGGCTCAGGAGGGCCCAGCCGGGCACCCACACCTCCCAGGGCTCAGGAGGGCCCAGCCGGGCACCCACACCTCCCCGGGCCCAGGCACCCACACCTCCCAGGGCCCAGGAGGGCCCAGCCGGGCACCCACACCCCCCAGAGCTCAGGCCCCAGCCGGGCACCACACCCCCCAGAGCTCAGGCCCCAGCCGGGCACCACACCTCCCAGAGCTCAGGCCCCAGCCGGGCACCCACACCTCCCAGAGCTCAGGCACCCACACCCCCCAGGGCTCAGGCCCCAGCCGGGCACCCACACCTCCCAGGGCTCAGGCACCCACACCCCCCAGGGCTTGGGCGGGGCCCAGACCCTGGGAGCCCTGACCTGCGTCTCCTGCCAGTTGGGGGCATGGCTGGCGTGAAGAGGCCCCCGTCCGAGGCCCAGGAGGAGCCGTCCGGGAAGCGGGCCTTGCCCACGCCCGCCCGGGGGCCGCTGTCCCCCGTCAGCACCAACGTCCAGCGGAAGGACCGGGGCGCGGAGGGCCCCCCGCTGAAGGCTGTAAGCGCCAGGCGGCCCGCCCTCTGGTTCCGGGGCTGGGGGGGGGGGCTCAGTTTACCCTGGAACCCCTGCTGGGGTCAGGGGTCGGGGGTCCCTTGGGGTCCACTAGGTCCCAGCCCAGCCTCAGCACATTTACCGGGAGGCCAGGGACTGGCTCCCGAGTTCCTGCCGCCCTGTGTGGCCGGGATAGGGTCCCCATGGTGCAGACGGGTAAACTGAGGCCCAGGAGGCCCACAGGCTGAGCTGAGCTTGAACCTTGAACCCAGACGTAACCGGCCGCTCCCTCTCCGTGGGTCCGGCCCAGCCAGGGAGCTGTGCCCCTTTCAGAGGTGGAGCCTGGAAGGGCCATACCGTGTGCTCGGGCGCCCCCTGCTGTTTCCGGCCGCCACACCGGCTCCGGGGCTGGGCCGGGACATTCGGAGCGGGTTGGATTTCTGCTTTGGGGTGGGAACTTTGAACCCCAAACCAAGCCTCCAGCCACATCCCCTTGGCCAGGCTGGAGGCCCTGGGCTTGGCGTCCAGCTGGCCTGGGCCCAGCCCGGCGCTGCTCTGGGGCCTCAGCTCGGCCCCCCCCCCAGGGCCAGGGCGGCGCCGGGAGCAGCTCCTGCGCGCTGTGCGGCCGGCACGTGCACCTGGTGCAGCGACACCTGGCGGACGGGAGGCTGTACCACCGCAGCTGCTTCAGGTGGGGCTGCGGGGGGGGGGTGGGGGGTGGGGGCTGTGCGGGGTGGGGGCTGTGCGGGGGTGGGGGGCTGTGGGGGGGGTGGGGGGGCTGTGCGGGGGGTGGGGGGCTGTGTGGGGGGTGGGGGGGCTGTGCGGGGAGTGGGGGGCTGTGTGGGGGTGGGGGGCTGTGCAGGGGGATGGGGGGCTGTGGGGGGGGCTGTGTGGGGTGGGGGGCTGTGCGGGGGGTGGGGGCTGTGCGGGGGGTGGGGGGCTGTGGGGGGGTGGGGGCTGTGGCAGGGGGTGGGGGGGCTGTTGTGGGGGGGTGGGGGGCTGTGGCGGGGCTGGGGGGCGGTGCAGGGGGATGGGGGCTGTGGTGGGGGGGGGGCTGTGTGGGGTGGGGGGCTGTGCGGGGGGTGGGGGGCTGTGGGGGGGTGGGGGCTGTGCAGGGGGATGGGGGGCTGTGGGGGGGGCTGTGTGGGGTGTGGGGGGCTGTGCAGGGGGATGGGGGCTGTGGGGGGGGCTGTGTGGGGTGGGGGGTTGTGCGGGGGGTGGGGGGCTGTGGTGGGGGGTGGTGGGGCTGTGCAGGGGGTGGGGGATCTGTGGCGGGGGGCTGTGTGGGGGTGGGTGGCTGTGCGGGGGGTGGGGGTGGGGGGGGCTTGTGTGGCGGGGGGTGGGGGCTGTGGCGGGGGCTTGTGGGAGTGGGGGGCTGTGCGGGGGGCTGTGTGGGGGTGGGGGGCTGTGCAGGGGTGCCTGTGTGTGTGTGTGGGGGGGGTGGGCCTGGCCCCCGCAGCCCCCGGGAGCAGCCGGAGGAGGCGTCTGTGGGTCGGGCTCCGGTGATGGACGCCCCCCCCCCAGGTGCGCGCGGTGCTCCGGCACCCTGCGGCCCGGCGCCTACCGGCCCACGGCCCAGCCCGGCGTCTTCGTCTGCTCCAGCCGCTGCCCCGCCGCCCCCCCCGCGGAGCCCCGGCCGCCCAGCGCCCCCCCGACGGCCCCGGAGGCCGGGCCCGCAGCCCCGGGGCCCGCGGTGGGCGCCCCGGCCGAAGGCCCCCCGCGGGGCACCCCCTGCCAGGCCCCCGCGGGGGGCCCCGTGGGCGGAGCCCGGACGCCGGTGGACCAACAGCTCCCCGGTGGGGTGGTCCCCCCGCCCGGGACCCCCGGCCGGCAGCCCCCGTCCCGCTGCGGCCCCCACAGCCCCCGGCCGGCTCCCGGCCGCACGGCCGGCCCGGGCAGCCTCCCCGGGGCCCGGGCCCCCGGCCTGGACCCCCGCGGCCTCCCGGACGCAGCAGGCCCGCGAGAGGTTCCTGCTGGCGCCCGCGGCCCCCGCGCCCTCCGCGGCCGACCGCCGGGAGCAGGCGCTGAGCTGTCTCCGGAAGGCCCTGCCCGGGCTCCGAGGGGCACCGGAGCCAGGCAGGTGCGTGGGGAAGGAGGACGGGGCGCCCGTCTGCCCGGGATCCCAGAGGCCGGGGGGGGGTGGGGGTTGGCTGGGGTTCCGGGCCACTGGCCATGTGGTGAGGCTGCACCTCCAGCCTCATGTGGTGAGGTTCCTCCTCTGGGAACGGGAGGATGAGAGGAGCGAGTGCTTGTGGGCGGCGGGAGGGGACCCAGCTACCACCTGAGCTGCATGCCCTCGGGGGGGGGCGGTGCAGCGGCTCTGCCACGGCCCCCAGGGGCTCGGTGCTGCTGGGCACCACCTGTCAGCCGCCCTGCCCCGCCCCGCCCTCTGCACGCACGGGGCAGGTGCCATACGGGGGGCAGGGGGCGGCGCCAATGTCCTGGGCTGACCCACCTGGCTGCTGGGCCCGGGGAGACTGGCTCTCGGGGAGGGTCCTTCCTGCTCTTCCAGCTTCCGGTGCCCGGGCACCTCCTCCCTGTGCCTGTCTTCACGTCTGTCCTGTGCCTGTCTGCTCTTCTGTCTCGTAAGGACGAGCCATGGACTTAGGGCACCCTAATGCAGGATGGCCTCACCCTCAGATTCACTGGCACAGCCTGTCCATGCCGGTGGACGGGGATTGTGGGGACACACTCAGCTCACTCCTCACCTAGCGAGTAAGGAGACGCCGCGCCTGGCTGGCATGCGCCACTGCCTCCTGCTGCCCTGCCAGCGCGGCCTGTGGCTCCCGGGCGGCCCGGGACCAGGAGGGCAGCCAGGAGGCCCGGGCGGGCCATGGCTCGGCAGGTGGGGGGACGGGGACAGGGTGCTGTGCTCCTCGCACCCCCATACCTGATGTGTTTGGGGGTATTTTAACCTCATCGCACACCAGCCTTAAGCAGGAGAGTAAGATCAGACAGTGCCCAGGAGGGTGGGCATTGGAACCAGCCACCCAGGGGAGACTGAGGGGCTTCTGCAGGCATCATGGGAGGGACTCCTGGATCCACCTGTGCCTGATGCCCACTCTCGCACCCACAGGCCCGCCCCAGCCACTGCCTCTGCTTCCAACGGCCTTCCCAGAGCCGAAGGGCCACGAGCAGGTCCATCGGCCAAGCTGCCACAGCCGGTGTCTCCCCCGGCCCTCAGCCCCCCTGCAAAGACTGAGTCGGCAGCCCCCCCGAGTGTGGGCACCACAGCACGGGCATCCACGTCGCCCACGGTGGGCAGGGCGAGCTCAGCGGCGCCCTCAGGGGGCAGCCGGGCAGCTGCTGACTCCAGGGTGAAGCCAGAGGCCCCGCTGGCGAAGGGTGAGAGCCCACAGTGAGGGCCGGGGGCGGGGTGGTCCCTGCACGGACGGTCAGCAGCCGCGGGCTTGCTGGGCAGGGGAGGCCCCGAGAGGCTCTCAGCCTGGAGGCCCGCCTCCCAGCAATGCTCCTTCCCAGGCCCTGGCAGGGGCGCCTGCGGCTGGAATGGCTGCAGGAAGATGTGGCCCAGCCTTTTCCAGTCTCTCCCAGACCCCCCCAATATGGCTCACCCCACCCCCCCCGCCAGGCCCAAGTGCCGGCTCCCAGAAGGACCAGGTGGATGGGCCGGCAGCGTGGAGGAGCCACCTGAAGCCCGTGGCGAAGAAGCACCCGGCTGAGAGGTGAGGAGCGAGTGGGCGGGCTGGGGCTCCTGGGCCTGGACCTCCCCTGTGCCTGTGGTTTGTGCTCACGGGCCCGACCAGGAGCCCATGTCCCAGGGTTACCCGGGGCCTGGCACATAGTAGGTGCTCAACAAATGCTCTTGGGTAAAAACACACATCGATTGGTCAACACACCCACAGCAGGGATGTGGTCAACACACCCACAGCAGGGATGTGGGTGCGTCCCAGCATTGCATCTGAGCAGCGGAAGCCAGCTCTGTCCGAAGGATGGGACATTTCACACCAGCCTGAGGGGTCACAGCAGCCTGTCCCTGAGTGACAGGGGACGGCTCACACCTGCCTGAGTGACAGGACGGCTCACACCTGCCTGAGTGACAGGGACAGTTCACACTGGCTCACACCTGCCTGAGTGACAGGGAAAGTTCACACTGGCTCACACCTGCCTGAGTGACGGGACGGCTCACACCCCCCTGAGTGACAGGACGGCTCACACCAGCCTGAGTGACAGGGGAAAGTTCACACTGGCTCACACCAGCCTGAGTGACAGGGGAAAGTTCACACTGGCTCACATCAGCCTGAGTGACAGGGGAAAGTTCACACTGGCTCACACCAGCCTGAGTGACAGGGGAAAGTTCACACTGGCTCACCCCCCCCTAATTGACAGGATGGCTCACACCAGCCTGAGTGACAGGGGAAAGTTCACACTGGCTCACACCTGCCTGAGTGACGGGACGGCTCACACTGGCTCACACCCCCTGAGTGACAGGACGGCTCACCTGGCTCACCCACCCCCCCCCCCCCAATTGACAGAATGGCTCACACCAGCCTGAGTGACAGGGGAAAGTTCACACTGGCTCACACCCCCCTGAGTGACAGGGGACGGCTCACACTGGCTCACACCCCCCTGAGTGACAGGACGGCTCACACTGGCTCACCCCCCCCCCCCCAATTGACAGAATGGCTCACACCAGCCTGAGTGACAGGGGAAAGTTCACACTGGCTCACACCCCCTGAGTGACAGGGGACGGCTCACACCTGCCTGAGTGACAGGACGGCTCACACCCCCCTGAGTGACAGGACGGCTCACACCAGCCTGAGTGACAGGGGAAAGTTCACACTGGCTCACACCAGCCTGAGTGACAGGGGAAAGTTCACACTGGCTCACCCCCCCCTAATTGACAGGATGGCTCACACCAGCCTGAGTGACAGGGGAAAGTTCACACTGGCTCACACCTGCCTGAGTGACGGGACGGCTCACACTGGCTCACACCCCCCTGAGTGACAGGACGGCTCACACTGGCTCACCCACCCCCCCCCCCCCAATTGACAGAATGGCTCACACCAGCCTGAGTGACAGGGGAAAGTTCACACTGGCTCACACCCCCCTGAGTGACAGGGGACGGCTCACACCAGCCTGAGTGACAGGGGACGGCTCACACCTGCCTGAGTGACAGGGGAAAGTTCACACTGGCTCACACCCCCCTGAGTGACAGGACGGCTCACACCCCCCTGAGTGACAGGGGACGGCTCACACCAGCCTGAGTGACAGGGGACGGCTCACACCCCCCTGAGTGACAGGACGGCTCACACCCCCCTGAGTGACAGGGGACGGCTCACACCAGCCTGAGTGACAGGGGAAAGTTCACACTGGCTCACACCCCCCTGAGTGACAGGGGACGGCTCACACCCCCCTGAGTGACAGGATGGCTCACACCCCCCTGAGTGACAGGGGACGGCTCACACCTGCCTGAGTGACAGGGGACAGTTCACACTGGCTCACCCCCCCCCGAGTGACAGGATGGCTCACCCCCGCCTGAGTGACGTGGGGCTGTGTTCCCATTGGGAAACTGAGAAGGCAGGAAGGCAGGCGGCTGGTGGGTCCATCATAGGGCCTGGAATCCTCACTCATGTGAACCGGCCTCGGTGGCCGAGGGACAAGAACACTCAGTGGGCCTGACCCCAAGCACGGGCCCGCCTGTGGGGGAATGGGGCGGGGGTGGGGTGCATAGACACACCTGTGCTCTGGGAGGGTCCCAGGAGGCAGGGGCGGGGCCTCGGAGCCCACGCACCACAGGCAGCTGTCCTCTGCGGAGTGAGTGCCTCAGGCGTGTCGGTGCGGGGCACGCCCTTTCTCTGCTGACCTGTCCCCTGCCCAGGGCCCCGGAGCCGATGGAGCCGCGGGGCCCCGGGAAGCCGAGGGCGGGGGCTGCGCCCCAGAAGGCCGCTGGGAGCTCCGAGGGGGGCGTCTGCATCACCTTGACCCCCGTGCAGCCCGACAGGACGCCGGGCCCTGCTGGCCCCCAGCCCAGCTGCTCCGGTAATTCCCGGCAGGAAACCAGGGTCCCAGTGACCTCCCCGCCCAGCCAGGGGACAGGGCCTAGGGGTCGCCTCTGGGGGCAGCGTCCAGGTCTGGGGCTGTGGGTTGTGCTTCAGGAAGGGAGAGGGAGAGGGGTCCTGGTGGGCAGTGGGTGTGTGCACGTTGTGTGTGCATGGGTGAGCACGTGTGTGCCTGTACATGTGCACGTGTGTGTGTGTTCCCACCCTCTTTCACCCCTCTTCCTGTGTGGCCTTGAGCGGCCGCCAGCCCAGAGCTGTGCGAGGATTCTGCCCTCACTGCTGCTGTGGCTGCCAGCTGCGCCCCCACTGGGAGCCGTGGGCCCGGGCTGGGAGCCGTGGGCCCGGGCTGGGAGCCGTGGGGCCGGGCTGGGAGCCGTGGGCCCGGGCTGGGAGCCGTGGGGCCGGGCTGGGAGCCGTGGGCCCGGGCTGGGAGCCGTGGGGCCGGGCTGGGAGCCGTGGGCCCGGGCTGGGAGCCGTGAGGCTGGGCTGGGAGCCGTGGGCCCGGGCTGGGAGCCGTGGGCCCGGGCTGGGAGCCGTGGGGCCGGGCTGGGAGCCGTGGGCCCGGGCTGGGAGCCGTGGGCCTGGGGAGGAGACCGGCCTGCTGGCCCCACGTCACGTCTGTCCCGTCCACAGCAGCCGCCTCCCGCACGGCGCCCTCCCCGTCCGGCCGCAGGAAGCTGGCGGTGCCCCCCAGCCTGGACGTCTCTGGCAGCTGGCTTCAGCCCAGGCCCCCGCGGCAGGAGGCCCAGGGCCAGGACAAGCCGGGTCAGCCGGGCAGGCTGTGCCTGCGGGGGCGCGGGCGAAGGGGCGCGGGCAAAGGGGAGCCATGCTGAGGGCGCCGCCCTGCAGGAGGCGGGGCCTGTCTCTGTCTGTGGGCTCTGCCCAGGGGCCTGCTGGGTGGACAGGGAAGCTGGGGGGATAGAGCTGGGGGTGAGTTGGGCCCAGCACACTCACCCTGCCCCCTCCCCTTCTCCAGGGAGGCCCTTGGGCCCAGCCGACACCCCCGCCTCCCCTGGCAAGGCCGTGACCTCCCCGGTCAGGGTGAGTAGGCCGTGGGGCGTGGCCAGGAGCTCCGTCTGGACGGAGGGCCCTCACCCCTTCCTCCTCACACCCCTTCCTCCGCAGCTGCACCCCGACTACCTGCCCCCCGAGGAGATCCAGAGGCAGGCCCAGCAGATCCAGCGGCAGCTGGACGCACTGGAGCTCAGGGGCGTGGACCTGGAGAGGCGCCTGCGGGCGGCCGAGGGGGGTGAGCGGCCTCTCCCCACTGCCCGGCCCTCCTCGCCCCCCCCGCCCTGTCCCCCCCCCCGGCCTCCCCGCCGCCCAAAGCCAGCCTGTGGGCCCCCGGCCTCCCCGTGCCAGCCCGGCTCCTCCCGCAGACGCCTCGGAGGACGCACTCATGGTGGACTGGTTCCGGCTCATCCACGAGAAGCAGCTGCTGCTGCGGCTGGAGTCAGAGCTGATGTACAAGTGAGGGCCCAGCCCCCGGCCTCCTCCCCTCCCCCCTCCCTCCCCTCCCCCTCCCCCTCCCCTCCCCTCCCCCTCCCCTCCCCCTCCCCTCCCCTCCGCCTCCTCCCCCTCCCCCGTCCCCTCCCCCTCCTCCCCTCCCCCTCCTCCTCCCCCCTCCCCCTCCCCCATCCCCTCCCACTCCTCCCTCCCCCTCCACTCCCCTCCATCTCCTCCCCTCCCCCCCCCCTCCCCCCCCCCTCCCCTCCCCTCCTCCCCTCCCCCTCCATCCCCTCCCCTCCCCCCTCCCCCCTCCACTCCCCCTCCATCCCCTCCCCTCCCCCTCCATCCCCTCCCCTCCCCCTCCATCTCCTCTCCTCCCCCCTCCCCTCCCCCCTCTCCCCTCCCCCTCCATCTCCTCCCTCCCCCCTCCCCCTCCATCTCCTCCCCTCCCCCTCCATCTCCTCCCCTCCCCCCTCCCCCTCCATCCTCCTCCCCCCCTCCCCCTCCCCCCCTCCCCTCCCCCCCCCCCGCCGCCCCCTCCCCCTCCACCCTCCCCCCTCCCCCCTCCCCGCCTCCCTCCCACCATCCCCCTGCCCCACCCCCCTGCCGTCCCCTCCCCCTCCCCCGCTCCCCTCATCCCCCTCCCCCTCTCCCCCTCCTCTCCTCCTCCCTTCCCCTCCCTCCTCCTCCCGCTTCCTTCCCCTCCCCCTCCATCTCCTCCCCCTCCCCCCTCCCCTCCCTCCTCCCCTCCCTCCGTCCCCTCCCCTCCCCCTCCCCCCCTCCCCTCCATCCCCTCCACTCCCCCTCCCCTCCTCACTCCTCCCCCCTCCCCCTCCCCCCCCTCCCCCCCCTCCTCCCCCCTCCCCTCCCCCTCCCCCTCCCCCCTCCCCCCTCCCCTCTCCTCCTCCCGCTTCCTTCCCCTCCCCCTCCATCTCCTCCTCCCTCCTCCTCCTTCCCCCCCTCCCTCCCCATCCCTCCATTCTCCCCCTCCTCTACGCCGCCTACCCCTCCCCCCTCCTCCCCTCCCTCCTCCTCCCTCCTCCCCCTCCATCTCCTCCCCCTCCCCCTCCCCTCTCCTCCTCCCGCTTCCTTCCCCTCCCCCTCCATATCCTCCCCCTCCCCCTCCCCTCCTTCACCATTCTCCCCGTCCTCCCCCCTCCTCTCGCTGTCCCACCTCACACTGTCCCCTGCAGGGCCAAGGACCAGAGCCTGGAGGAGAAGCAGCTGGACATCTTGGACGAGCTGCGCCAGCTGATGGCCCGACCGGGTGCGTCCCCCTCCCCCTGCAGTGCGCTGTGGGGGGGGCGCTGTGGGGGGGGCGCTGTGGGGGGAGCGCTGTGGGGGGAGCGCTGGGGGGGGCGCTGTGGGGGGGGGGCGCTGTGGGGGGGGCGCTGTGGGGGGAGCGCTGTGGGGGAGCGGTTGGGGGAGCCTTGTGGGGGGGCGCTGTGGGGGGGGCGCTGTGGGGGGGGCGCTGTGGGGGGAGCGCTGTGGGGGGGGCGCTGTGGGGGGAGCGCTGTGGGGGGAGCCCTGTGGGGGGAGCGCTGTGGGGGGGGGCGCTGTGGGGGGGGCGCTGTGGGGGGAGCGCTGTGTGGGGGGTGCTGCTGGGGGTTATGGGTCCTGTGGCCGAGTGGCTTGGTTCCCGCCGTTTCCACATCCCTGTCCACACCTCTCCCCACCTCTCCCTCCTCTCCCTCCTCTGTCCACCTCTCCCTCCTCTGCCCACCTCTCCCTCCTCTGTCCACCTCTCCCTCCTCTGTCCACCTCTCCCCACCTCTCCCTCCTCTCCCTCCTCTGTCCACCTCTCCCCCCTCCCCTCTCCCTCCTCTGTCCACCTCTCCATCCTCCCCTCTCCCTCCTCTGTCCACCTCTCCCTCCTCCCCTCTCCCTCCTCTGTCCACCTCTCCCTCCTCCCCTCTCCCTCCTCTGTCCCCTCTCCCTCCTCTGTCCACCTCTCCCTCCTCTGTCCACCTCTCCCTCCTCCCCTCTCCCTCCTCTGTCCACCTCTCCCTCCTCCCCTCTCCCTCCTCTGTCCACCTCTCCCTCCTCTGTCCACCTCTCCCTCCTCTGTCCACCTCTCCCTCCTCCCCTCTCCCTCCTCTGTCCACCTCTCCCTCCTCTGTCCACCTCTCCCTCCTCTGTCCACCTCTCCCTCCTCCCCTCTCCCTCCTCTGTCCACCTCTCCCTCCTCACCTCTCCCTCCTCTGTCCACCTCTCCCTCCTCCCCTCTCCCTCCTCTCCTCACCTCTCCCTCCTCTGTCCACCTCTCCCTCCTCACCTCTCCCTCCTCTGTCCACCTCTCCCTCCTCTCTCCCTCCTCTCCTCACCTCTCCCTCCTCTGTCCACCTCTCCCTCCTCCCCTCTCCCTCCTCACCTCTCCCTCCTCTGTCCACCTCTCCATCCTCCCCTCTCCCTCCTCTGTCCACCTCTCCCTCCTCCCCTCTCCCTCCTCTGTCCACCTCTCCCTCCTCACCTCTCCCTCCTCTGTCCACCTCTCCATCCCCCCCTCTCCCTCCTCTGTCCACCTCTCCCTCATCTGCCCACCTCTCCCTCCTCCCCTCTCCCTCCTCTGTCCACCTCTCCCTCCTCCCCTCTCCCTCCTCTGTCCACCTCTCCCTCCTCCCCTCTCCCTCCTCTGTCCACCTCTCCCTCCCCTCTCCCTCCTCTGTCCACCTCTCCCTCCTCACCTCTCCCTCCTCTGTCCACCTCTCCCTCCTCACCTCTCCCTCCTCTGTCCACCTCTCCCTCCTCCCCTCTCCCTCCTCTGTCCACCTCTCCCTCCTCCCCTCTCCCTCCTCTGTCCACCTCTCCCTCCTCACCTCTCCCTCCTCTGTCCACCTCTCCATCCTCCCCTCTCCCTCCTCTGTCCACCTCTCCCTCCCCCCCTCTCCCTCCTCTGTCCACCTCTCCATCCTCCCCTCTCCCTCCTCTGTCCACCTCTCCCTCCTCCCCTCTCCCTCCTCTGTCCACCTCTCCATCCTCCCCTCTCCCTCCTCTGTCCACCTCTCCCTCCTCACCTCTCCCTCCTCTGTCCACCTCTCCCTCCTCACCTCTCCCTCCTCTGCCCACCTCTCCCTCCTCACCTCTCCCTCCTCTGTCCACCTCTCCCTCCTCTGTCCACCTCTCCCTCCTCTGCCCACCTCTCCCTCCTCACCTCTCCCTCCTCTGTCCACCTCTCCCTCCTCCTCTCTCCCTCCTCTGTCCACCTCTCCCTCCTCACCTCTCCCTCCTCTGTCCACCTCTCCCTCCTCCCCTCTCCCTCCTCTGTCCACCTCTCCCTCCTCACCTCTCCGTCCTCTGTCCACCTCTCCCTCCTCACCTCTCCCTCCTCTGTCCACCTCTCCATCCTCCCCTCTCCCTCCTCTGTCCACCTCTCCCTCCTCCCCTCTCCCTCCTCTGTCCACCTCTCCCTCCTCTGTCCACCTCTCCCTCCCCTCTCCCTCTGTCCACACTGGGCGCCCTGCGAGGCGGGTGAGGCGGCCCCGCGGTCCTTCCTTCTCCCCGCCACCCCAGGGGCCCGGGCCCCGCCCTCCCGCAGGGGGCACTGCTCTGAGGGGGCTCCGCTGACCCGGCTGCCCCTCCAGAGGGTCTGAAGTCGCCCCGGGACCGGCAGCGGGAGCAGGACCTGCTGACCCAGTACGTGAGCACCGTCAACGACCGCAGCGACATCGTCGACTTCCTGGACGAGGACCGGCTCAGGTGCGGGGGGCGGGGTCCGGGGGAGGGGGCCCGGGGGATGGGGGGGGCCGGGGAGGGCGGGGAGGGGGGCCGGGCGGAGGGGCTCCGGCTCCGGCTCGGGTGTGAGGGTGACTGGGGGGACGTTCGCATTTCAGGGAGCAGGAGGAGGACGAGGTGCTGGAGACCATGATCCAGAGGCTGGGTAACGGGGTCTGCACGGGGGAGGGGCCTGAGGGGAGGGCCTGAGGGGAGGGGCCTGAGGGGGAGGGGCCTGAGGGGAGGAGCCTGAGGGGGAGGAGCCTGAGGGGAGGAGCCTGAGGGGGAGGGGCCTGAGGGGAGGGGGCTGAGGGGAGCGGCCTGAGGGGAGGGGCATAAGGGGGAGGGGCCTGAGGGGAGGGGCATAAGGGGGAGGAGCCTGAGGGGAGGGGCCTGGGGGAGGAGCCTGAGGGGAGCGGCCTGAGGGGAGGGCCTAAGGGGGAGGAGCCTGAGGGGGAGGGGCCTGAGGGGAGGGGCCTGAGGGGAGGGGGCTGAGGGGGAGGAGCCTGAGGGGAGGGGCCTGAGGGGAGGGGCCTGGGGGGAGGAGCCTGAGGGGAGGGCCAGAGGGGAGGGCCTGAGGGGAGGGGCCTGGGGGGAGGAGCCTGAGGGGAGCGGCCTGAGGGGGAGGAGCCTGAGGGGGAGGGGCCTGAGGGGAGGGGTCTGAGGGGAGGGGCCTGGGTGGAGGGGTCTGGGGGAGGAGCCTGAGGGGAGGGGCCTGGGGGGAGGGGCCTGAGGGGAGGAGCGTGAGGGGGAGGGGCCTGAGGGGAGGGGCCTGAGGGGAGGGCCTGAGGGAAGGGGCATAAGGGGAGGGGCCTCAGGGGAGGGGTCTGGGGAGAGGGGTCTGGGGGGAGGAGCCTGAGGGGAGGGGCCTGAGGGGAGGGGTCTGGGGGGAGGGGCCTGAGGGGTGGGGCCTGGGGGGAGGGGCCTGAGGGGTGGGGCCTGGGGGGAGGGGCCTGAGGGGAGGGGCCTGAGGGGAGGGGTCTGGGGGAGGGGCCTCGGGAGGGGCCTCGGGAGGGGCCCTCGGAGCAGGCGGAGAAGGCGCACCCTTTGGGGTGTGTCCGTCAGCGGAGGGTCCAGTGCAGCTGGTCAGGGCGGGGGGCTCTGAGGCGGCGCCGGGTGCTCCGGGGACGGGTCCGGTCCTGCTGGGCCGCCGCGGGCCGGGGCGGGGGCGGCCCTGGTGGGCCCGCCGGGAACGGGGGACAGGCCCGCGGGCCGCAGCCGGAGCTGGCGTGTCCTGAGTGTCCCGTCCTCAGACCTGCAGAGGAAGAAGTCCAAGTTCCGCTTCTCCAAGATCTGGTCCCCGAAGGGCAGGAGCAGGACCCCGGAGTGAGCCCTGGCCGGGGCCCGGCGGCGGCTGGACCCTCGTGGGCCCGAGCGGCCTCAATAAAGAGCTGACCACGACCTGGCTCCGCCTCCGCTCGCCGCGCCCCGGGGGTCGGGGCGGGTGCGGGGGTGGGGGGTCTGGGCTGGGGTCGGGGCTGGGGTCGGGGCGGGGGGGTCCAGCGAGGCCCCCGGAGGGGACAGCGGGGACGGAGGGCGGGCGCCCTGCGCGGTCAGCAGGCCTGGCTGTGCGGTCAGCAGGGGGGCCTGGATGAGCCTCTGGAGGACCTGGAGGGGGCCCTGACCCTGCGGCTGAGACCGCCTCCGCAGTGTGGCCTCTCCACCACCAGATGGAGGCAGAGGGCCACCCTGCAGGGCTGGGCTCATAGACCGCCCTGCAGCCACAGCTCCTGGATGGGCCGAACTGCGCCCAGACCCCCTCCCAGGCGGCTGGGGTGCCTGTGGGGTCTCTGAGATGGCAGAAGGGCTCCAGCCTGTCCGCCGAGGGCACTGGGGCCCTCAGAGGGTCCCGCGGGGCCTGGGAGCCCCTGTCCATCACGCTGCCCCGAGTCCGGGGCGTCCGGGGTGGGCACAGTGGCGTAGTGGGCAGAGGCGGTCTGTCTGCTCGTGGTCCAGGCCCGAGCCCCACGCTGTCCTGGCTCCCCACCAGGCCGGGGCCGGACCCCACACTCAGTCACTGCAGGACAAGCACCGTCCTGGGGCCACCAGTCACCGGGCGCCAGTCCTGTGACATCCGTCAGCCCCAGGGCGGAGGAGGGGGCCGTGGGGGCCGCTGGGGTGCAGGGGCCTGGCTTCACCACTGCCCACCCCTGACCCGAGGGGTCATCCTGGGGCCCCAACAACTTGCCAGGAGCTGAGGAGAGGCTGGCCCAGCAGGCTCCGGGGCCACGTGGCTGGGCTCCTGCCTGCGCCTCAGGAGACCTCGCACGCCCAGCCTCCCCTCCTCCCGCCCCCACGTGGCCCGGAGACACCCGTTTCCAGTGGACGTGGGGTGGGGGACATGGGGGGCTGGTCCCTGGTGGCACCTCTCACTCCTGTCTTGTGGGTCTGGGGGCTGTGGCCTGTGCTGAAGGACACGGAGCAGAGGGACCCGTGGCCGAGGTCTGGCTGGGCAGAATTCAGGGGCGCTGGGCAGGGCAGTGGCTGCAGCAGGAAGGGGGGTCAGGGGAGGGCCGCCCTTTGCGGAAACTGGTGGTGTAAGCAGTGCTCTAGCCCTTTGACAAGAGGGGAAGCTGAGTCACAAAGGAGTGCCAGGCTCACGATAGGGGGGGCAGCCCGTCACACGGCCTGTGTGACGGGGCCCGGGTGGGACTCTGCCTCTGGCCGCCTGCACCCCCTCCTTGTGCTGCGGTGGCTCCCACTCTCCTGGAGCCTGGACTCTGATTCCTGGGCCTCCGCCCCCCGGGGTCCCCACAGCAGGTCCCGAGAGCCCCTCTGTCCGCCAGTCCGCCAGTTGTCTCGTCCTGGTCCTCGGTCCTGGTCAGAGGCCCGGACTCTGTCAGAGCCGCCAGGAGCTCCTGATGGCAGGGTGGAGCCGGAGACACACTGTTAGGTTGTCGCTGATGGAGTGGGAGCTGCTTCGTTACATTGCGAACAGAGACCCCACACACCTGTCGGCAGCCCGCAGACACTACAACGTGCGTCGGATGTAATCCAATTGAAATCACATTATCGGGAACATCTTATTTTATCAAAAATTGAAATTATATCACCTTCCTCTTTTCTTAAATTAAAAAGCTAAAACCTTTTGTTTGTTCTCCCATGTTTGTGTAAAACTCAGTGATTTTAACCCCATCACGTTCCCGCGTGGCTGTGTCTGTCCCCGTTTGTTTACAGGGGAGAACTTTCCGGAAAGAGCTGGCTGGTGTGGGGGATGGCTCCTCCACGCAGGGGGCTGGGGGAGGGGGCAGTTCAGTGCCGGTGTGCCGATGCATGGACCCTGTGGGGTACCCCGGGGGCGGCACAGGCCAGAGGGCCCGGCCTGCGGGGGCAGAATTGGCCGCGGCACCAGGTGTGGCCCTGGCCAACTGCAGGTGGCCGTGACCTTGGGGCAGGCGTGGACGGCTGGACGGACGGCTGGGGCGTAGGCCTCTGAGGGAGGCTCAGCCCGGCCCTGGGCGTGGGGCTGGGTCTCGCCACCTCCCCCGGCTTCTCCCCAGTCTGCACCCAGCTGCCCCTGACCAGGACGGTCTCCCGTGGCGGGTGCCTCTGAGGGGGCGCTGCCGGGGGAGGAGGGACCTTATCCCTGACCCTGACCCTGACCCTTAAAACTAAATCGGACCCTAAACCTAACCCTAAACTTATCCCTACACATAACCCTAAACCTAATCCTAACCCTATCCCTATCCAAAACTCTAGCCCTAGCCTTAACCCTAACCTTAAACCTATCCTTAACAATAACGCTAATAACCCTAACGATAACCTTATCCCTAATGCTATTGCTATCCATAACCATATCCTTAATCCTAAACCTTTCCCTAACCCTAAAACTAACCCTAAACTAACCCTAACCATAAAACTAACCCTATCCTTAACCTTGTCTCTAACCCTATCCCTAACCCTAACCTTATCCCTAACCCAAACACTAACCCTAACCCTAAACTATCCCTAACACTAAACCTATTTTAATAATGACCCCAATTCTAACCCTATTCCTAACCCTAACCCTCATTCTGACCCTAACTCTAAACCTACCCCTAAACGTAAACTTACCCCTAGCTCTAGCCTTAACATTAACCATATCATAACCCTAACCTAGCCCTAGCTTTAACCCTAACCCTAACCCTATCCCTAACACTAACCCTATCCCAAACACAAAACCCAGCCCTAGCTCTATATCCTAATCCTAACTCTAACCCTAAACCTATCCTTAACCATAACTCTAATCCTATCCCTATCCCTAAACCTATTCCTAACCCTAACCCTAACCCTAACCCTAACCTATTCCTAACTCTAACTCTAACCCTAACCCTAACCCTAACGCTAACCCTAGCCCTAGCTCTAACCCTAACCTTAACCCTATCCCAAACCCTAGCCATAATCCTAACCCTAACCCTAACCCTAACCATATCCTTAACCCTAACTCTAACCCTACTCCTATCCCTAACCCTATCCCTAGCTCTAACCCATACCCTAACCCTAACCCTATCTTTAACACTAACCCAAACCCTAATCCTATCCCTAACCCTATCCCTAGCCCTAACCCTAGCCCTAACCCTAACCCTATCCTTAACCCTAACCCTAAACCCTAGCCCTAGCACTAACCATATCCCTAACCTTATTCCCAACCCCTAGCCCTAACCCTAACCATAGCCCTAGCTATAGCCCTAACCCTAACCCTAAACACTAGCCCCAGCACTAACCCCATCCCTAACGGTAAACCTATCCCGAACCCTAACCCTATCCCAAACCCTAACCCTAGCCCTAATCCTAACATTAACCCTAACCCTAACCCTAGCCCTAGCTCTAGCCCTAACCCTAATCCTAACCCTATCCCCTAACCCTAACCTTAAACCCTAGCCCTAACCCTAGCTCTAACCCTAACCCTAGCCCTAACCCTAACCCTAGCCGTAACCCTAACCCTATTCCTAACTCTAACACTGTCTACAGCCATATCCATAACCCTATATCCATAACCCATATCCATAACCATATCCATAACCCATATCCATAACCATATCCATAACCCATATCCATAACCATATCCATAACCCCACTGGCCCCCAGCATTCTAGCTTCTAGGGGTCCGGAAAGTTCTACATCTCTGACCACTGGGGACCAGGTGGTAAGAAGGTTGGGCTTGGTGTGGGGCTGGGGGTCCCTCCTGCTCAGCTTGTTGAGCCTGAACTTCAGGTGACCCCAGAGGCCAAGGTGGGGGGGTGTCACTGCAGAGAGGAGGGAGGGGAGGGAACGGGAGGGAGATGGGGAGGGGAGGGGAGGAAAAGGGAGGAAGATGGGGAGGGGAGGGGAGGGGAGGGAGGCGGGGAGGAGGTGGCCCGCGTTGGCTCCCAGCAGCAGCCAGGTCCCTGCTGTGGGCCTCCCCCTCTGGAAGTCACATGACCCGTCAGCTGACAGAACAGGATGACTCAGCCGGCAGCTGTCGGCCCCTGAAATAATGACAAAAACAATTAGCAATCCAAGCAGTAGCCTTTCCTTAATTATCTCCTCCGAGTTTAATTAACTAGCTAAATTATCAGCAGTAATGTAGGCATTAATTATGTCAAATTACAGTGTAAAACTCACAAAGTGTGGAAAATGTCAATTCAGCTCGGCTCACCTGCCAGGGGGTGGCGGGAGACGGAGGGGTGGACCTGCGCGTGGGTCCGGGGCCGCGGGGGCCGCGGGGGCCGGGCCGGGGCCGCGGGGGCCAGGCCGGGGCCGGGGCCGCGGGGGCCGCCGGGCGGGTGGCGCCGGCGCAGGGGCGGCGGGGGCCCCGGGGACCCGGGCGGGCGGCGGGGACCCCTTGGCTGGGACCGAGGGAGGGAGAGGCGCCTGCTCCGGACCAGATGGCCGGGATGCTGAATTATTAAATTATGAATATTAATACAAATCAGACACAAAAGAGGTAATAATTTTGCTGCCCTACAGAAATAATTAACATAATTTTGATAAATTACACGATAAGAGAATCTCAAAATGGAGGTAGATTTATCTTAATTAATATCTTGGACCCGCGCGGAAGGTAAACGGCTCCTGGGGGCTGGGGCGGGTGAGGCCGGCGGATGAGGCCGGGCCGGGCCTCTGTCACCGGCCGGGGGGCCGTGGGCCGGGGGAGGATGGAGGGACCAGGTGCACGGCAGCCCTGAGGGGCGGGCAGGCCCTCCCTGTGCCTCGGTTTCCCTTCCGGGACCCACAGGCCTTTGGCTCTGGCGGCCTTTGGCAGAGCTCTCCCAGCGAAGCCCCGGCTGCGCCGGCCGCTGAGCCGCACACCTGCCTGCCGCCCACACGGCCAGCGAGGCGCCGGCTTGTCCGTCTCGGGGGCGGTCTGAGCTGCGTCTGCGCCGCTCCCTGTGGCACCAGGGCGACGTCCACTCTGGAGACGGCAGGCTGCCCCTCCTGCCTCCCCCTTGCCCAC